CCCCAAACACTCAGTTTTCCTTTTGCCTGCAGCATCCATGACGAGGTTTACTATTACTTTCGGTCGTGGAACGCAGCCAAGACGCTTGCTGTTGCGCCAGATTGGAGAAAAACAGCCTTTGCCTCGCAGAGTTCGCCGTATAGTTGGTATTGACCGAAGCGTTCCCTGCGTATCCCTTCTCTTGCACACATGCGGCTGTGCACAAACCTGCTTCCTTGCCTGCAGGCTGACACGTACAGCTCTGCGAGGGAACTCCGACCCGCTGGGTGGGAAGGCGTCTGCTGATCGCTGCTGTTCCCGGTGCTGCCACCGGCGCTGTCCGTGCCTAGGCATGGCGTATAGGCCAAAAATATTAACATTGGCTCCCTTCGTCCCAAGTGAAGTGGTCAGGAGATGCAGGGAGTGAGCTTCTCTGGAAAAGCAGAGTAGCTAGTAACTGTGCACTTAAAAGTAGAAGTACTGATTGAGAGCAGGGCCTTTAATCTCTCCGCTTTCTGCCCATAGAAAGGGAACCGTGCTCCTCTCCTACCTTGCAAGGTGATGACTCTCTGTGTGCTTTAACCTTCATCAACTGATGTTTACAAAGTACTTCTAAAGCTGCCAACTGGCAAATACTGTGGAAAAATAGCCTGGATTTTCCCTGGTGCCTGATGCTGTGTATGTGCGTGCCTGCGTGCGGCTGGCTGTTTTTCAGCTGGGATCCCCGTGGCAGGCGTCTCTGCACCTACCCCTCCGAGTGCACGGCCTGTATTCATGTCTCTGTTTTCTTTGGCATCCTCCAGCATTTCCCTTGGAACTAATGGCCAATATTATAGTCTCTCCTCAGACATCCCCCTCTGCCAGAGCACTCCCATGAAGAGGATTACCGTTCTCATACTTGTGAGCCTCACACCGTCCCACTGTCTCTTTCAGGCTGTTCTCCCCTGGGGACAGGGTCACAAAACTCACAAAGCAGGCAGATTTGCAATTAGATCTGCTCTGCAATTCCCCCCCCGCCCCCGCCCTGAAAAAAAATATGACAAGAGAAACTGTAGGTTTTGTGCTCCCCTTGGCCCAAAGTCTGCAAACTTTGGAAAGAAATATTTAGATGAACCTCCTCCAAAAGTTTTCAGAAGAAAGTAGCTATTTCTTGTAAAAATAAATGCATAATAAAAAGCAAAGAATTTCCCTTGAAAACTAATTTCAGTGGAAATTTTTCAGGTAGCTTCAATGAGCTGCGGAGCTCAGCATGCCCTCTGGTGCCAGAGCCAGGTTTCACAGGCCCTGGGACCTGCCAGCTCCCTGCAGCAAAACCAGAGATCAAGTTTAAAAAGAAAAAAACCCCAAATATCCCACACTTGTGGTGATAGTCATCCTTCTTTCTATAAGAATTCATACAAAAATTAAAAATAATAATAATAGAAATGAGATTTAAATATTTGGTGGTGGTGGCGGTGGTGTGCTTTGAGTAAGAATAAAGCCTCTGACTTACAAAACGTAGATGGGTGCCTCACTCAGCCCCTGTAGTGATCTGTATCGCTGTGCCACGTTTACACAAAAGGAAGCAGAAAGGGGATTTGCCTGAGGTCAGACTGAAGCCAGCAGAGTCTTTGCAGGGAAAGAGGCTGTCTCATAGGGAAAGCCAAAACATCCGGAAATGGGACACGGGAACAGAGCCCCAGCACCAGTTCAGCCAGCGCTGTTGTGTGACTGGGCTCTACTTTTTTCAAGTCCTAATTTCCCTATCCTTAAGAAGTAGGCAATAATGATACATCCCCACCTTGGGAAAGGCCTGCATACTGGTAGGTACTGTTTTCCAGCAGATATGCTGGCTCTGCAACAACGCTTGCAAGATGAACTTGGTGTCTGACTGCCAGATCCAGGTTTCCTCTCTTTGACGCAATATGGAGAAGAAAAGGCAGCGATCCCCACCCTCAGAAGGGGAACGCTTTCAAAGTGACTAGAAAGACACCAGCTCTAGCCTGATGACATAAATCACTTTGATGAGCCTTCAGGAATGTCCTGTGACTTGACTTAGGGCTCTGTTTGCCAAAAGGGAATCATTTAATCTTCCCAGTGATCCCACGTAACCTCCCACAGCTGTATGGGCAATCCTGAGTTGCTTGTGAATCAGCTCCTGAGCTGCAGCAGTTTACAGGACTGAACTTTAAGACAAAGCAAAAGCAGAAATGGTCCCATTTTGCAAAGCTGTGCATGCTTTGTGGCAGCTCAAAAAAAGTCACAGCCATGCATTCATATCCCACAGATGCAGCGGTTAGCTGGGGACAGCTATGGCACCAGGCATCCCAATCAAAGCCATCCTCCTGCATTAATTGAAATGCTGGGTCTCTGAAGACTCCTGATTTGTTTAAGCCTCTTGTTATTTGAGACTCCAGGCTTGCATTCGTAGCTGCCGGACTTGGCAAAATACTCTGTAAGGGCCAAATCCACAGAAGAGCTGGATTTCTCTAACTTTACCTGCTGTTAAAAGGACTCCTGCAAACTGGTTGCTTGTTTAGCTACCCAAGTGAAAGCTTGGTGTCCAGTTTTCATTATCCAGTAACCTTTAGGCCACCTTTGTGGATCTACTAAGCCTGGGCTGACAGAACTTTGAAGCAGGAATCACAGTTTTTCATTGCTCAGTGCAAGGGTTTCCCAGATCCGGTGACTCCGCGTCGGAGAGCTATGGCCGTTCCTGCCTGTGGCATCATGTCCCAGACAGGGGAACATGCCATCACGCTTATCCACTCGAGAAAGCCCATGTGAAAGCTGTCTATTTTCATTGCCTGATCATCTGGGACACAGAGCTCAGTACATTGCAGCTCTGCCCCATTTCACACTCCAGGTAAAGGAGCGTGGGGGCAGCTCAAAAGGAGGAAGTGTTTTCATTCAACAAGAGCTCCTGACTTGCTTTATTTGTCTCCACATAAGCAACTGGGAACAGATGTCTCAGCCTCCTTGTACCAGTCACTAATTTAACAAAAGCTCTGTCTTGTTTGTACAGCGTCCTTGTTCTCGCACCCTTAACTCATCATTACGCAGAGATAAACTATCAATGCCCAGCTTTGTGACGCTACAGGGAGGAGGGCTGACTCTTCAGGAATAAGGAAGAAAACACACGAAAGGGGTCAAATCTCAAACCTTGCACCACTTGGTATGGGTACCACTCTGTTGCAACGGGATCACATGCTTTTAAGCCAGCTGAGAGGGGGCAGTACCTAAATCTAGGTTTTTTGTTCCCGGGATCAGACCTTTGCCAGCCTCTTCTCCCCAAGACACAAGATACCTCTATTCTGCCCCAGACAATAATGTTTAAGAAGTCCTGAACCCCTACGCACTGCCTTAGAGTCCTTACTGGCTCTCTAGACTTCTACTTTTATCTCCTTCCAGTATCTTTTAACTTCTAGCTTCCACAGCAAGAAATACAGGCTTTGCAAAGGAGCCTCTTAACCACAGCAACTTTACTGTTAGAAACCACAAGAATTACATGCTTTAAGCTGTCAAAAAAAAAAAAAAATTCCCCAAAAGCACCTTCCTACCCCAAGCTGGCCCCTTCTTAGGTATCACAGTTCACCAATAGTTCACACTGGGCACAGTCCTTCCTGCCCACTTTTTACTACGCATCTTTCTCACATGAGGGTGATAGCTGGCCCAGGCCAAAACCCCCTTCCAAAACTCAGCCCCAATTTCACTATCAGACACACAACCACATGCAGCACTCTCCCAGAATTGCTGGCTTTGCTCACACTCCCACCCTGGCACAAAGGAAGCCACTCTTGCCCAGGGATGCACAAAGAGACCAGACACGGCAGCACGGAGCACTCACCATAACCCTTCTCTAGTGTCATGCCCAGAGCATAGAGGAAAGATTACATTTTGTACTTTATAGGGTACAAAAGGACCAAAATAGGACTCACCATTTGATACAGGCACAGCCCTACTTCCAGTATGCACCTGGAGAAATCTCTTTCACCACTCTGAGCAAAAGAGGTCACCTCAGGCCCACACCTGGCCCTTATCTCCAGATTTGAAGGGTTATTCACCAGACAGCGCTGAGGGCAAGGCTGCTGGTCTTCACTACAGCTGGCAGGAGGCTGATTACTCAGAACGGAGGCCTGTCTGCTATGTGGAAGTGTTGTTTTTCTTTCTTTTTAAGAAAGAAGGCCATAGCTTGCTGCAGATATAGCCAAATCATTTGTAATTGTTGCCTTTGCTGGTGGTTTATTACCAGCTAATGACACTCTGGGTGAATTGAAAACTCTCTTTTCTATCTTTTTTTTTTTTTTCATCATTCGGGTCAAGACAGCTAACAGGGGAACCCACTTAACAAGAAAGATAGAGAAAAGGTGGGTAGCTAAAAGCAGCCAAATGACCCACAGCTTGTAATTAGGCTACAGGCAACCAGGTGATTTACCTCCTGTAATAAATACCTGTTTCTTTCCACTGACAAAAAATGTGCCTGAATGATTAAAGTTAGGTGTGATGGATCCCACCCCTTGTCTCGGTCCATTTCAGTGCCTGATGTTTTGAAGGAATAGCCCCCCTGGTTTCAGAAACAAAAACGTGGATTTTCCCATCTGCTCTAGCATCTTGTCTAAGACAGTAGTCAGCAAAGAGTGTTCAGAGGAGATATAAAGCCCAGCTACTGACAGTCCTTTGAACACCCAACCCAAAGAGAAGATCTCTCTCTAATCCCCTGTAAGTTTGAGGCTTGTCTGTGCCCTGAAGGAAGAGAATTTAATATTCCTTGAAAATCCCTGGCTCTGGGTAATCTACATTATTGTAACCCTGGACAAGCTTGTTTTCCACAAAAATACCCAGTATTTTTCTAACCTTGCTGAGCTCTTGATCACTTCAAGTATCTTCTGCCTATTAACATCACGAGGCGACTGTGAGGGGAAACTGGGTGCTTTCAACACATTTAAAACATCTCTTTCCCAGGCTTTTCAGATAAACCCCGTGGGGAGGCAGCAGCCCATTCAACATGGACAGGTCTGTTGGCTTAGCAATCGAACCAGTTCATGTGGTTTCTCCTGTCTCCCCAGGGCGTCAATCCTCACCTCCGGATTAACGGGCCGATGAACATCAACCACTACGCAACGAAGAAGAGCGTGGCAGAGAGCATGCTGGACGTGGCGCTGTTCATGGCGAATGTCACGCAGCTCAAAGCGGTGCTGGAGCAGGGGACTTCCTTCCAGTACTACACCACCCTCATTGTGCTCATCAGCATCTCCCTCTTCTTCCAGGTGATGATCGGGATTCTCCTCATTATCACTGGTAAGGCAGCTACCGAGGTGTGTGCACCCTTGCAGGGTGCTGCTGCAGTAGGGCACCCCATGGCTTGGCTGGCATGGGGGTGGGAGGGAGAAATCTCTTCCCCTGAACCATTTCCCCTGGCTCCAACCAAGGCTGCAGGAAGGTTGAAGACAGCTTGACGTGGGCTGTGGGGAGGTCTCTGTTACTGCTTTTCAAAGCGGGGAGTGGGTTGTTTTTTTCTCTTGCACAACAGCTCTGAGCACTACTCTTCTTTCATTTCCTCACCGCTGAATCCCTGTCATAGAGAGAAAGGTGGGTTTTGGACCTCTTGCTGCCCATCCTGTAACATGCCCCTTCATGCAGCTCCTGAAGATACTACATTTTAGCTGTATATTTTGCCTCACTCAAGCTGGGGCTTAACAGAACAATTTAGGTAGAGGTATTTCCTATATTAACCTCACATTTAACCAATCCCACAGTTCTCCTAGTGCCATACAGACAGTACGTTAACACCAGCATTTCAGACAGGCTTGCCCAGTGCTCCATCTGATAGAGAAGTTGCTATATTTCAGCCTCCAACACATGCCCAGTATTGAAAGTCTGCAGAATGCTGGCTTTTCCTGTATATCCTATGTGGTTTTTTTATGTGGGACATGGGATCAGAGGCTACAGGAAATCCTGTGACGTCTTTTTTCCCCTGCCCCACATGGCACAGCCTTTCCTGTTGGCAGCTGTGGTGGCTGGAGCCAGCTGTGAGGAGAAAGGGGACAGGGGACCACGACTGAGGGCAGGGAGGCACAAGGTTGCCATTCGCATGGCTTATTGGCTGGAGAGCCCCAGTAACTGGGGCATTCCCATGTCTGAACTGATTGATGCCCATCAGCTAGGGCTGATCCCATTCATGTACCCAGATACCTCTTGGTCTGGGGGCAAGGAGGGGCTTGATAGCTGTGTCAGCACATATGTGAGATCTGGGTGTCAAGGAGGAACTGGCCTCCCAACCTGAGTACAACGTTGCTGACCTTGTTTTCCATGTTGCTCAGCCTTCCCTTGCCATGTCCCATGGCCATGCAGTGAGGGGGTCACATGGCACATGCCTGGCTAGCATGCAGCAGTAATTTGGCTATTTAGGGTTGGCCCATTGGAAGGCTATGGCATCTCCGTACCAAAACAAAGACATGACATAAAAAAAAAGATGTTTTTCCTCTGCTCCATCCTCCTATATAGTCCTAGGGCAAGCTGTGGCCCCTGTAAATTTCCTGGGACTACTCCCCCAGCTCTGTGGCCACAGTGCCCAGGGGCACCATGGATGTTCACCAGGCAGGGAAGGCTTGCAGGGGCTGGGGGACTTGGACTCAAGCTACAAATCTCCCTTTCTTTTTGCGTTGTATTGCACAGCTCGGTTGAACCTGAATGATGTTGCAAAGCAACCCCGCCTGAATATACTCAACAACACTGCCACAGCTCTCATCTTCATCACAGTCATCCTCAACATCTTCATCACAGCCTTTGGGGTGCAGAAGACTGGTCTCTACCCTACCAGAAATTTTCGACCTTATTAAGTCATGGGGCAATGGAGTCAGGTAAGAAAGGGGTGAGTTCCCTGCCAGCTCCTGGAAGGGCTCTCAGTCTCAGAAAACGTCATTGCAAGGTGGAGAAGGCAAAGCTGCACAAATTAACGAAGCCTTTCCAGAGGCATGTTGTTGTCCCACAAGCATCTGGGGCCATTGAGCAAATTCCCTCACAGAGGAGGAGGATTTCTCCTTGCTTGGTCTTTAAAGCAAGAACACCAAACATCCCAATTGCTGGGATTTATCAGCAGCAAGTGGTTTTCAGAAGGCTGCAGACCTCAAGCTAGATAGGGATAGCAGTTGTGGATGGCAGCTAAATTTGGGAAAGGAAACCAGGTGCATTCTGGGAGGTATCCAAGGATGGCAGCGTTATCTGAGCAGAAGAAAAGGTGCTGGTGAGGCGGGTGTGAAAGAGCTCTTCACAACAGCCAGTGTGGTTCGGCAGGGGCTGTTTTAAGAATCTAACACTCATTTTCAAGAGAGAGTCTTGTGAATAAGAGCCCAACCAACTGCTTCGGTTCCCATGCCAGGTCAATGAGGGAATGACATATTCTTAGGTCAAAAGTGCTTTACGTCAAGAAGGAAAGTTCACATCGCTTGCTTACATGACCTGCAAGATGTAAACATAGTTTAAATGCAACATACTGGGGCAACAGCCAGCAAGAAAGCTTGATAGATGTATGATATGATGAGGGAGGATGCAAAGGGCAAAACCCTCTATAAAAACACTGCTGGTTTGGGATCCAGAAGGGTGCGAGTGTTGAAGAGCAGCACCCCGCACCCGCAGGGGTGGCTGTGGTGCCGAGCGACCCAGCACGCCGTGGCTGCTCCTCTCTGCCTGTGCAGTGCGGAGGAGCCTGCTGCGACCTTACTGGCGTTTCTTGTCTTCCCTGCAGAATCTGAGCAGCACAGCTGGCAGGGAAAGCTCTCCTCCTCTACTTTTTCACTGACCTCAGCAGGAGCCCGTCGATGAATCCAGAGAACTGGGTTAAACTTTCAAAACTGTGTGTGTGTCATCGTATACCAGCCCCTTACCATAACGCTTTTGCAGTTCTGAAGGGGTGAAAACATTGCCTTTCAAAGCTAGAGCAAACTTTGCTAGAGAAAGCTGCAGGAACAGCAGCAGGTACACAATTTCAAAGCACAGTTCTGTAAATCTCATCTCTTATTTTAGTTGCCTGCTTCATATATTCAATATTGGCTCATTTTGTAGAGAAGACTGAACAACTGACTTTATAGGCTAAATAAACAAGAAAAGTCCAGCTTTTTTGTCTCAAGCGTAAGTTGCTATACTTAAAGCAATGCTATCTAATAGTTTACCACCTAAGTGTTGGAATAGATTTCTCAAACTAAGAAAAAAAGTTCTTATGGAAGGATAGAAAAGTGCATATGTCAATGTAGCTAAAACCAGTTCAAATGTTTTCCTAGTTGTTTAAAAATAAAATTAAATGCGACACAGGTAAGAAAACAATCAGGTATTTCCAGCATTGGAAAATTAACATTGACAGAAAATAGGTATTATGGTCTGATGTCATCGCCAGGGACCTATCAGGAATGATGTCAGAATAGCCTGGCAATATTTAGTAGAAAATGAAGAAACCTTATACATAAGGAGACACTCTAGGCTTATTGCCACAATAAGAAATGACAGGTGCATTACTTTATTAAAAAATCATCATTAGAATTTAAGGTCTTATCACTAACATAAATGTTTTTAAATATATCATTTTTATATTGACAATGCTGGGAATTCTCTTGTACTAGAACTATTTCTTTCCTTAAAAAAACTGTCTTTGAATTAATGATTTTTCAGATTTTTTTGGAAAGAGTAAAAATTTTCAATCCTAAATTTTGTAACTCTGTAGTCATGCTAAAAAAATTGGTATTTTAATAGCCTGGTGTAAGCCTGTTTAAATAATGACACGCTTTTCTGATTATTAAATGATTTTTTCATTGTACAGCAGAATCAGAGTTCAATATGGATTTTTCATTTTGCATACTCTTGCCACCACTGAGAAAGAAATGTCACAAAAATGTCCACATATTGGTCTTCAGGAGCTACTGGGAGTATCTGACGCATTAAAAAAAACCCACCCAGATTTCATTTGTACTCTGTATTTGACTTTAAAGAACTAAATTTCTCTTTAAGTCACAGGTGGTGCTTTTTTCTGGAGAGGGTGGGAATGATCTTGCCCACAAAGGCTGGTGGGTAAGCCTACAGGTCACCATCAGCTCGTACCTGCAAATGACAGCGGCTTTTTTGCAGCTGACGGAAAGTTGCATAGAAAGAGTAGGGTGGAAAATACCAGTTATGCATTCACCAGAATTTAAATCAGCAAAGTTGAGGACAGTCTGGGATCTGTTTGGTGAAGCAGGTGAAGACTCGTCCTCCACTTTGTCCAGGGGATGGCAGGTCTGGAGCGACACTGAGTTTGCTGCTTATCTCGGTCCTCGGTCTCTCCTGAGATCAAGAGCAATCAGGGGCAGCTGCTTCTGGGAAGCCTCTGTTATCCAGCTCTCCTCTAGAAAAAGGCTTCACCGTAGAGGCAGCAAAATTAGTTCTAGCCAAAGCAAAACCACCAGCTAAGGGCTTTCAGCCACTACTGGCCGGCTGGGTTCATGAAAAGGTAAAACATTACGCATTCCGTGTGCAGATCCCAAATCCTGTGACTCATTGCTTCACGGAGCAGGAGGCAAAGCAATCAGCATTGATGACTGAATGTAACGAGAGGAAAAAAAGAAAAGGTTCAGCTGGGAAAGAAGGAGAGAGGGGAATGTCATTACCAGATCTTAACTTCAACATCACCGTCTGAGAGAGCTGCCAGGTCCGGTACGGCAGCGCGCGAGGCCTGCCCGAGCAGAGAGGGCTTCCCGTCACCCGGCCCGGGAGAGCAGAAGACATTATAATGGAATCAGACTCATTAGCAACCTTGGCAGCCTTTTTCCCCCTCCATGTCTGACTCCCATTCCTGCCAAGCTTTTTATACTCAAAGGAGGCACAGTTGAAGTGAAAAGGGGCCAAATTTGAACCTCAATAAGCAGCTGCCGTGAAAGAGCTGACCTCCCGTTGCTGTAGGCCGTGCCAAGTACTGAGCTCAGGTCTCGGCTCTCATCTGCGGTCTTCTCCAGGAACTGTCCCCTGCTTGCAAGAGGGACCACGTCGTTCTCCGCATCCTCTATGATCACATCGCACTTGTGCTTTGCTGGGACACGTACTTGGCCAATGTTTCTACTTTGTTTCACATGATCATAGAATCATAGAATCATTTAGGTTGGAAAAGACCGTTAAGATCATCCAGTCCAACCATTAACCTAACACTACCAAGTCCACCACTAAACCAATTTAGGGTAGAATAGTAATTTCATGTTTCCTGGCTTAGTGGCTGGATTATTTTTTAATGAAAGTAAAAACTAGGAATCATTAAGGTTGGAAAGGATCTCGAAGATCATCAGTCCAACCATCAACCCAGCACCACCATGCCCGCTAAACCATGTCCCAAAGTGCCACGTCTACCCGTTTTTTGAACACTTCTAGGGATGGTGACTCCACCACCTCTCTGGGCAGCCTGTTCCAATGCTTGACTACTCTTTCCATGAATGATAAACCCAGGAAGACAGGAGAAAAACCGTTTTGTTGCCATCCCGTTTTCTACAGTCCTAGAGGGGACTGAAACACACTCCTGGCTAACCTTGCTTGCTGCATCTCCCACACGCCCCTTGCTGCGGAGCTCTTGCTGGCTTGGGCAGAGAGTGACCTGCCTTTCTGGTATTGCCTACGCCTTCGGTTATATGAACCCAGAGGACCAACACCTGGTTTCTAATCCCTGCTGCATGGCGATGCAGGTATGAGTAACACACGGACAGAACTGAGCTCTTGTAGGAAGACAATGTATTTATAAAATGTAAGGAAAAATCAGTATATCCCCCAGCTCTAACAGAAAGGTGGCCAAGGGGTCATCTTGAAGGCACAGAGCCACTTTAAGGCAGTTAATTCAAATGTACAATTCAGATTTTTAACACAAGGCATTGGTATCTAAAAAACAATCAACTTCAGATATTTATAGGCAATGAGAAAAGGCGAGATGTTCATACCGGGCAAATGTTAAAGACAATGACAAAACAAGTCACATTATAATTTTCACACAGTACATTTCTCTCAGAATAAAAGCCAGCTCTTCTTTGTTCCCTTTGCTGACCTGCAAAACAAGCCTCAGCCCCACAACTCACAGTCCTGAAGATCGAGTCGGCATTTGTGGGCAGAGCCCCCTTGCCGTGCACCCTGCGCTTGGGGGCCCAGGGTCCGGAGCCTGGCTACATCTTGCGCCAGGAAAGGTGTCTTCTGCAGCATGGCCCATCATGTCCCCAGCCAGAGACCTACCAGAGCAGCTCCCTCCTGCCTGCCTGCCTGATGCACGGGAAATCCCATGCAACCGATTTCCTCCTGCCGTCGAGGCAGGACACGGCCAGGATGCACATGAAGGCCAGAAACTCAGGGCAAACTTCACTGCAAACTCAGGCACAGCTTCCTAAAAAGATCCTGGTGACAGAAATGAGATCGACTGTCAGGGGGAGTTAGCTTCCCAGCTGTGGTGAAGCCAGGTTCCCTCTTGCTCTCCAGGAGCTGTGCTGGACCCAGAGACAAGCCCCCCCTCGCAGCGGCAGCTAGCGTCGGGGCAAACCCCCTGCCTATCAGGGACCACGGTGGCCTGGCCATCGCCCTGGATGGCCACGTCCTTTCACTGCATGGCTGCGGGACTACCTGCTCCTGCTGCGCTCCCTGCTCTCCCCCCTCTTCACGATTCTGTTTGGGGAGAAAAACTGCGGGTTGTTTTGGAAGAGGGGTAGCAGCCTCAGAGCAAAGCCTGGTGCCGCTCCTGCAAGATTTGCTGCTGGCTGGCGAGCCGAGGAGCATGTAGCCCCTTCTCTCCCTACAACCCGCAGCGGTCTCTGAGCACGTGGGCTGGACGACAGCTTTTGTCCCCACGGGCTCT